CCGCGCAGAAATAGCCAAACTGCTGTGCAAAGGAGCTATAGAACCGGTGCCGCCTTCTCTGAGCGAGTCAGGCTTTTACAGCCGTTATTTTCTCGTACCGAAGAAGGACGGAGGCCTGAGGCCTATATCAGATCTGAGATTTTTGAACAAAGCTCTCATGAGGAGACCGTTCAAAATGATTACAACCAGGCAGATCCAGGGACTGGTTTATATCTCTCATTCTGAAAGACGCATATTTTCAGATACAGATTATACCCCGTCACCGGCCATTCTTGAGATTCGCCTTCGACGGCCAGGTATATAAGTACACCGTCCTCCCGTTCGGCCTGTCCCTGGCACCCCGTACATTTACGAAGTGCATGGACGCGGCGCTCGCCCCCCTCAGAGGTCAGGGTGTGCGAATTCTGAACTATTTGGACAATTGGCTGATTCTAGCACAGTCAGAGATAGAGCTCGTATCTCACAGAACTATGCTTCTCAGTCACTTGGAAAGATTGGGTCTCACGGTCAACTGGACCAAGAGCTCATTACAGCCCAGCCAGTCAATCTCCTTTTTAGGGATGGAACTGGACTCCGTGGCTATGAAGGCTCAGCTGTCGACAGAGCACGCGCGCCCCGTGTTCGACACCTGGCCGCATCTTTCCAGAAGGGCAGAACCGCCTCCCTGAAGAAATTTCAGAGGATTCTGGGCTGTATGGCCTCAGCTGCAGCAGTGCTGCAGCTGGGCTTACTGCGCATGCGCCCACTACAACGCTGGTTGAACGCCCGCGTACCCCGTCAGGGGTGGACGCGTGGCTACAAGCGGATCAGGATATCTCAGAGCTGCATTTCAGCTCTGCAGCCCTGGTTAGCGGCCAATTGGTACCAGCAGGGGACGAGGATGGGAGCGATTTCCCACCGAAAAATCATCTCGACAGACGCCTCCAACTCAGGTTGGGGCGGCCTTTTCAAGGGCAGACCGGTCTTTGGCCTGTGGTCAGACCGAGAGAAATGCCTGAAGCGCTTCCTCCCGTTCATACAGGACCAACACGTTCTAGTCCGCTCGGACAACATGTCGGTTGTGTCCTACATGAACCGCCAGGGCAGTGTCAGGTCCAGGAGCCTCTGCGACCTGGCAGAACGCCTCCTCGTTTGGGCCCAGTGCTTCCTGCGTTCGCTGAGAGCGACGCACGTGCCAGGGATCCTGAACGAGGGACCGGACAGATTGTCCAGGGACAATATCCCCCCCGGGGAGTGGTCGTTACATCCCCAAACAGTCCAGCTGTTGTGGCGCCTCTTTGGCAGAGCGGAAGTCGACCTATTCGCGTCAAAGGACAACGCTCATTGCCCAGTGTTCTTTTCAAACGAGCCCAACTCTGGCCCAGCCGCCCACTATATGCCTTCCCTTCGATCTCAATGTTACCGCAGGTAATCAAGAGAATCAGGGAATCACACAGCCCGGTGCTCCTCATAGCCCCGCGATGGGAGAACCAAACCTGGTTCCCGGAACTAACACGGCTGTCACACACAGCCCCGTGGCCGATTCCGGTGAGGAGGGACCTCCTCTCTCAAGCCTGCGGCTCGATCTGGCATCCCCACCCAGAGCGCTGGTCTCTGCATGTGTGGTTGATCAACGGATACCCGTTATCCTGCCAGAAGGAGTTATGAACACGATCACGCAATCTAGAGCCCCCTCTACGAGACGGCTATATGCGTCTAAATGGTCTGTGTTCTCCAAATGGTGCACCGGCAAAAATCTGGACTCCAGAACGGGTGAGGTTTCGCAGGTGCTCAGTTTCCTTCAAGAGCTGCTGGATAAGGGCAGGTCCCCATCCACGCTCAAAGTTTACGTGGCGGCCATCGCAGCCTTCGCTGAGTCGAAGCAAGGCCGGTCGCTAAGAAGGAATGAGCTGGTCATCCGCTTCTTGAGAGGAGCCAGAAGGATGAACCCTCCGCGCCCACCTTCGGTTCCTATTTGGGATCTCTCCGTGGTCCTAGAGGCCCTAAAGATGCATCCCTTCGAACCATTAGATTCAACGAATCTAAAATACCTCTCGCTCAAAACCGTTTTTCTTTTGGCTCTGTCATCAGTTAAACGTGTGGGGGACTTACACGCGCTATCTGTTAGCGCAGCGTGCCTTGAGTTTGGCCCGAATGACTCTAAAGTCATCCATCCCATCCAAGGTTATGTCCCGAAGGTGATTGGCACTCCCTTCAGAGCGCAGGTCATTTCTCTGTCGGCTCTGCCAGCATCTGACAGCGTGGGCAGCGACAGCCTCCTATGCCCTGTCAGGGCACTGAGAGCTTACGTTACGCGCTCAGCCCCTTTCAAAGGCTCCGAGCAGCTTTGCGTTTCGTTTGGCGGGCGAAACAAAGGTCTCGCCGCCTGGAAACAGTCCCTATCCAGATGGATAGTGGACGCGATTTCTGCTGCCTATGCGTCAAAATGTCTGCAATGCCCTCTGGGCATCAGGGCTCATTCCACAAGAGGCATGGCCTCGTCGTGGGCATGGTCCAGTGGAATTTCCATTCACGACATCTGTATGGCGGCGGGCTGGGCCTCTCCGTCTACATTTGTGAGATTCTATAATCTGGAAGTTCCCGCCTTGCAGGCCAGACTTCTATCAGTCTAATGTGTGTATGATCTGCCCACATCACTGGTGTGCAGGCTACCTCAACGTTAGCTCTCCTGGTTGAGCTGCACTAATATGGGGTGATTTACATGTACATGCAGCCCGGCGCCGCCGCTCTGCATTCCCCATGGGTGCTTATACTTATACATGTGTCGGCCCGCTTGCTGGCCGCCTGAATTTCCCACTTTCACTGTTCCCCGGGTTGGGACCAGAGTGGATGCTGGGCGCGCACGGCGTTGACAAAGTGTTCCCGTAGCGTAAGCTAAACTTACGCAATACGAGAGAACCTCTCGTAAGAGAACGTACTCGGTTACCTAACGTAACCTCGGTTCTCTCTAGAGAGGGAACGAGTATTGCGTAACCGGCCGTGCTAAGCGCCACGAGCGATTTTCGCTTCAGATCATGAAAACCAGGGAAGCAGCCTCTGAGCCCCGCTTTTATACGCTAAGCCACACCCCTTCGTGCGGGCTGTGACGCGTAGTGGGCGCGAAGCGCCACCATTGGGCGTGACGTCACGCCAGGCTCACTGGTAGGCTGCTGCAGTTGCCGCAAGGCAGCCAATGAGCACGCTAGGCAGCCCGCTCTAGGTCTGCAGCTGCTGCACTGCATTGACAATATATACAAAATTAAGGATAATTTTGGCTTCAGTATCTCGAGCAAAGATGAACTTTACCCGTAGCGTAAGCTAAACTTACGCAATACTCATTCCCTCTCTAGAGAGAACCGAGGTTACGTTTGGTAACCGAGTACGTTTTTAGTAGTTCGATTTTAGTCATATTTTTAATCATTTAGATTTCATATAGACTTCGAATTATTTTTGATTATACATTTATTATATTTATAATACTGAACGTATTTATATAATGTTCATCTCAGATATGCTAAATTAAAAGTAACTCTTTTTAGAGAATATTAATAATAACATTTTGCTTAATCAATGAAAATATAAAAGCCAGTTATTTGACCCTTGTTTAATTTTGTTGTCTTTTATAATATCACAATTCATTTCTCATACTGTGTTAATGAATTTGAAAATGTGTAGCTGAATTTATATTTTAGGAAGGGGGTCCGTCCTATGGAGGTTTTCGGCATCAAAATGTAAAAGATAAATAAAAAAAACACTTAGGTTGACTTAAGGTCAACTCCTGGTAGATGGAGTCGGAGGATAGAGATCAAGTTCTTAATGTCTTAAGATTGTACCACCACAAGCTATGATGTGATTCATGTTGTGTAATAGGTCAAAGGTCAACTTTCAGGGTCATATATTGGAAGCCTGAACTTGAAAGTGTGAGGTTGGGGGTGTTGATGTCCTTCACGATGGCCATGGTAACTCGATTCACACGATTAGATTGTAATTAGTATTCCATAAGGCTGATCAGCTATTGATCTCCTCCGTCTGTGAGATTCGGAGGACAACAAAAGCTGCTTAGTTTGATGCATAGGCCAGGAGGGAGGGAGGGTGGGTTAGATAAAATGAGTGAAAGTAAAAGAACGAGAGAGCTGATGAAGACAAGTCTAAGAAAAAAAAATCCTGAGCGTTGCATAGACTAAAAGCAGACAGGCAGAAATGTGGTTGTATTCGCTAGTTTTCACTCAAGCTGCTTAATATTGGGGAAGAAAAACTCCCTGTAACCCTTTCATCCCCTTCCAGACCCCAGCATCTTCTCTGTTTCTCTTTCCCTCACTCTTCCCAAATCTCTCAGTCTCCGGTGGCTTGCCGAAAGTCTTCAGTCAGCCGTTTCTGCTCGGCTACCCTCAGTAAATCAATCCTGCTGATTGGGTCTGCTCTCTGACAGGGCAAGGACCCTGACGAAGACTAAGAGAGATGTATACATGTCGCTCCTAGTTACAGTCACCCAGCTACATCAGCTTGTATTGGTGGGAAGGGCTCTTAGCGAAAGGGAGATGAATGGGAACAGCGAGGTTATGCTCGTGCTAAATTAAAGTTTTAGGTTGAAAGCGGAGTGTGTTTTTCTTCATCTCAGGTCGTGACATTTTGAGTATCTGTAGATTTGTGGGTTCTGCTTTCAAGTTTGTATGTTTACATTAGCATTCCGGTACGTATGTTGAGTGGAGCTTCACCGCTTTTCCACTCTCAGAGTACCTTTGGGGACAGTGTAAAGTTCATCAGTCATGCAAATGAATGCAGTTGTTGAGTAGTATAATCTACCTCCTGCTCTCTGGAGAACATTGCTTTCAGAAAAACACCATGATGAGGTTTCCCCTACCCCTCTATAGACGCAGCCCAACCAATCCAAAAATATGGCATTATGTTATTTCTGTTCTCAACATGCTAACTTTGTCATCTTTTTGTGTTCACACACATCTGTGCATGCATTTCAGAACTCTGCGCTTATTAGCATATTTGTGTTTTTCATTCTTTGGCAGGAGCATTTCAACCCAGAGTGCAAATTCAAAGAGAGTGTGTTTGAGAACTACTATGTGACGTACTCCTCCATGCTGTACCGCCAAAGCCAGTCGGGACGCTCGTGGTACATCGGCATCAACCGGGACGGTCAAGTAATGAAGGGCAACCGCGTGAAGAAGACCAAAGCGGCTGCGCACTTCCTACCTAAAGTCATCGAAGGTCAGATCAGGTTTTAAATAAACTTGAGACATTTTATGATGGTAAATCTAGTCTAAAGTGGTAACTGTTTTAGAACATTCTACTAGGGGTTTAAACTGGTCATTAGCTGGTCCAAGCAGGTTTATAGACCATTTTAGACCAGCAATGTGGCTTAACTAGCTGGTGGTTAAACATGGTGGCTGTTCAAACAGCTAATAATCAACCTGGACAAGCTAATAACCTGCTTGCACTGACTAATGACTAATATCCAGCTTGCTCTATCGGATAATGGCCACCTTGGAGTAGCTAAAAAACACTTGACACCAGCTAATAACCATCTTGCACCAGACTAAACCAGCAAGTAAACAGTTTAGAGCACTTAATGACGTGCTTGGACAAGTTTGCACTAGCATAAATGCAGGTAATAACAAGCTTGCATCAGATTAAACCCGCCACTAACAATTTTACAACAGTAACTAACCTGATTGAACCAGCTACGACCAGCTAATACAGTTTACACCAGCTAAAGACCAGCTTAGACCAAATAGACCACATTCCCAGAATGCACCAGCTAATGACCATTTTGGATGAGCTTATAACCAGCTTGCACCATCTTAAACCAGCCAATAACAAGTTTAGAGTAGTTAATAACCTGTTTGGACCAGCTGATAACCTGCTTTCACTAGCTTAGACCAGAAAATAACCAGCGTAGACCAACTAGTAAGCAGCTTGCAACAGTTAATGGATATCTTAGATCAGCTAATAACCATCTTGCACCAGATTAACAACCAGTTTAGATTAGTTAATAACCTGTTTGGACCATAATAGTTTACACCAGCATAGCAGCTAATATCCAGTTTATACTAGCTTAGACCAGATAATAACCAGCATGTTTAGACCAGATAATATCCAATAACCATAATATTAATAACCAATTTGCACCAGATTAAACCAGCCAATAACCATCTTAAATCAGTTAATAACCTGCTTGGACCAGTTAATAACCAGCTTGCATCAGCATAGACCAGCTAATATCCATTTTGTACTAGTTTAGACCAGATAATAACTAGCTTGCACCAGCTAACGGCCCTCCCGATATTCAGATTAGTGGTCAATCAGTATGGGTTTTTCAGTTGCAGACTCTTGAAACTTTACATTTTCCACTGTCATAAATAGTTGCACTATTCATGAAACTATAAGTTATTTTAGTTCCTCTGTTGTTGCTTTAAATAACATCAGTGTGTCTTTGTTCTTCTCGTTCCCTCAGTGGCCATGTACAAGGAACCTTCACTGCATGCGCTTGTAGCAGAGCAGAGTCCTCCTCGCAAAACCGTAAAGACTTCAGACTCCCCCTCCCACAAGAACGGCAGGAAAGAGGCGCCCAGAGCTGATGCTTCATAGCACAGGGCGCGCACACAGGGAGGGTGAAGGACTTCAGTGACACTGAGAACTCCATTTTCCTTCATGCAATAGGGGCAGGAAGAGCTGTATGAGCGGCTGCTTGCTTTTGAATGGGGCGAGATCAGACAGCAGCCCCTGGCAATGAGAGGAGAATCCTTGCCTCTCTCGGTCGAACCAGCTCGTATATATTTCCACTGACCCGGCATGACACCTGACCCACCATATGATTCTATAATCCCCTGAAAAACATGTTTCTGTGTCCCCACATGCCCTACTTGAGTTCTATCACAGTGCCAGACGAAAAATGCTAACGATATAAATTCTAACTAAAGAATTCAATTGACTTTTCTTTCCCTACGGTTTTTTTTTGTTTGAACGAAGAGTTTGGGTGTGAGAAGGAGAGCGTGAGGGAGTGAGGTTATTATGTAATATCATCATAATGATTCCAGCAGATGAGACCCTCGCTGGTTAATTTCTTCCTGCCATCACTTTGCCAACGGCTGCTCTGTGCCAATCAGAACTATAGGAAGGAGTGCAGTAAAATTCGTTTTATTGGACCATTCAAGGAGGATCCAGTTCTATTGGTCTGCGGGTGTAGATTGATCTCTTCTGGGCCGCTGCCAGGGAAACCAATGGTATCGTCCGGAATATGTGATCGGGCAGCTTTTGAAATTAAACAAAACCCTGTTGTTCCAATTCCTTCCACTGATATTCTCAAACACAACCTGATGACGATGATAATGAGTTAAGATTGAATCCACAACCCAAACGCATCTGTTTTTGGTTTAATTGTGGCTACACCTTGTAAGATCCAAAAAAGGAAAAAAACAAGTAAATTCTCTTGTGACGACTCTATTAATGTTTAATGGCCAGTGAGCTCGGATCAGCATCCGTATCATTGGCAAACGAGTGCAGATTATTCGGGGCAGTTGTTTGATAGCTCTTTGATGGGATTCGTACAGGGGATTACATGGAGTCCAGCCATGATTGCTTGAATTATTTACTCCTTTTCTCGAGAACGTACGGCTCGTTCAAGCAGCTCGGATGAGAAATTTTAATATGCAAATTTAAATTGTGGCGAGCCGATCAATGACGCAGTGATTGTGTGCGTTTAGACGTGTCTATTAGAGTGTGAAAGAGACAGAATGATGCGAAATGAACATCTGCTTCCATTATTTATTTGTGTGTGTGTGTGGGGGGGGGGTGGCAGTCTGGGCACACGTGTAAACACATTGGCTCACACAGTTGATCATTTTAATGGTTCGGTCGTGTCTGGGAATTTTAATCTGCCTGGAGATGTTGACTGATGACCTTCTCCAGGTTTCATAATTGACACATAACCAAGAGGAAGCGCTGCGACATCCAGGACCTCTTTGTAATTCCACAGGCATCTTCCCAGTCCACACACACCACACTCCGTAAATTGTTTGCAATGTGTGTGTTTGAGTAAAGAGTTGGTCTACCATCTTACAGATGGTGCCCTTTTGTCCTTCAGAAGGGAAGAGACCAGCTCTGTGATTATGATATCAATCATTTGTGGGCCAACAGCAACTGGTGCGAATGTGGAAGGTGCGACCTGAGTGGCTGTAGATGTGACAGGTTCACAAGTTTGGTTTTGCTGTTGTTCTGTGAAAAAAAGGTCATTTGTTGATTCGTATTTGTGTTTGAATGGTCATCTCAATGTTCTTGAGCTGTGTCCTGAACACCTGGCCAGCAAAGAAAATAGTTAAAATACATTGAATGAAACTATGAGTAAGAATATTAAATCGAAGGGAAAATATTTAGGTAAATGAAACAGGAAGTCAGAAGAAAGTATAGCCGATGTCAGTGAGGGTTTGTGCATGTTGCAGAACGTTTTTAGTATGTTGAAGCATGGTACGCGTATGTGTCTCAATAAAAGTTGTCCAAGTTAAAGGAATATTCCAGGTTCAATACAAGTTAAGCTTAATTGACAGAATTTGGACATTGTGTTGATTACAACCAACATATATTTAAACTAATTTTCTTTTTTTTTTAAAAGGCAAAAATTGGGTTACAATGATGCACTTACTGGAAGTGAATATGGTTCATTTTTAAAGGATTTACAGCTGTTTCATTGTCATATACCTTTATATCAAAAGGGTTAGTTAGGCATTTTTTATGATGATGAAATCAGGTTAACATGCAAATTTTTATGTCTTGTGGCTATTCTATTAAATCAGTGAGCATGTTAGCATTTACGTTCGTTTGCATCCTTCACTTTCATTGTAAGTGCCTCACTGTAACCCAGTTTTTTAAAGGAGGGACAAAAGGAAATTAATTTTTGTGTTAAGCAACATTATGCCACAAGTGCAGTAGATTGAGTTTAACTTGTATTGAACCTGGAACATTTCTTTAAAAGGAATTGTAATGTGTAGCATGAGAAAGTCTGGAGAAAGTTTGGTTATGCGAGACGAGGTTTGGGATGAAGACGATTCCCTGGCTACGAGAGACTGAAAGTCCTGAGGGCGGCTCAGTGATTGAAGTTAGAGAGGAAGAGGAAGACACTTTAGAGGCATTAGATTATGAGGAGCAAAACCAGAAGATCATTAAGTTGGATTCTTGGAGGAGAGAGCTTGTGCTTTGGTGCTAATGATGAGGGCAAGATCCTGTTCTGTGAATTAGACACTGAATGAATTCTTGCTGATTGAGCGGAAGGTGAGGAACAGGGTCCTTTGAGGATTGGGGGAAGGGAACATTTATGCTCACGCGTGTGATGTAGTTACCTGGCCCGACGGAGACGTTGAGAACACAAGGACGAATGCGGCGCACACACGCCCCCTCGTGTGTGCTCCAAAGTCATGCTCCATTTCCTGAGCAATCTCCCCAAACCCTCTTCTGTGTGTCCAGTGGCTATTAACCTTCCCTCCAGCTCTGTGTGTGTGTGTGTGTGAGAGAGAGAGAGAGAGAGAGAGAGAGAGAGAGAGAGATAGAGCGAAGTAACGATCGATTGACTCAATAAAAGCCAAACTGGAGAGCAATAGCCCAGCGCTGTGAGCAATAATTTCCCTGTGCAACCGAGGAACCCGAGGACATTAGCAGACGATGAACTGGGAGGTTTTTTTTGTGTGTGTGTTTGGGACTTCCAGTCGGTGAGAAAGCAGCGGAGGAGGAGACAACATGGAGATAAAGTGACAGTCAGTTCGTAAACCCAATTTTGGTTTTGTCAAATGGGCCTTGCCCGCTTGATCTCGCTCTCTTTCTTCTGTCCAGACCTGGTTTTGCTGTGAAGCGGCTAGTATTATGGTCTCAGATCTCTCCTGACTCTCGCTCTCTCTTTTAAATCAGGGCAAGTTCTCAAGGACACATTGAGTCCACCCTCTGTTTCATTTGCCCTCAATTCAAGCATGCAAAAAGAGTGAGACGATCAAGGGAACACTTCTAAAATGTTCATGCTGTATTTTTGTGAAGAATAATTGATTTCATACTATCTATCTCAGAGGAGTAAAGGAGAAAAATATGTGTATATAAATCAAAGAATGATTAAAAAGTAATATTAAATGCAATCAAAAAATGATGACTGTACTGTAAATGGGTGCTTTTGGGGAGATGGACTGCCTGGTCTTGCCAAAACTGCTGTGAGCCATATGGACTGTGGACATGTACAGATTTGAGTTTCTTTTTGTATTTGTTTTTATTAAATTGTGATATTGACTGAAGCAACTAAAGGTCATTTCACCCACAGTGAAAAATGACATTTTGAAGAACTGATGGGTACTTCCTTGAAATTTGCTTTTATATTTAGTGGAAAATATGTATGAACCTTGTTTTGCTTTTTCTGACATATTTTCCCTTGTGCAAACTTGTTTTTATTTATTATTTTCTCCTTTTTCATTTTAAAGCTGTGTCATTAACAGACTAACTAATTGGACTTTTCGAGACCTCTTCACCCACACATAAGCAAAAAAAAAAAAAAAAAACTGAAACCTGAAAGCCAACGCACCTTTTCTAATCAGGTCTTCCAAATGAAACGCTGAAGAAAACAAGCCAATCCTTTCCTCCCCTATCTTCTCGTCTTCCAAAAAGCAAAGTCTTCCACTAGCCAGGGTTTGCCTGAGTGTGGCAGTAACTGCCAAACAGAACATGGCTTCCTGCATAAGCCCCGCCCTCGATCTTACACGGTGAATGCAGGAACAGGCTGATTGGCTGACAGCCAATGGAGGCGGAGCTACACACACCTGCCCTATAAAACAGCATGGAGACCTACGTGGAGACTCGAAGAAAGCTGACCATAGACTAACAGCCGGGGTCAGCTGGCCATCCCCTGCGTCCCTAACCAGCATGGCGGACGTGCTGCTCTTGAAAGCCGACACACCTGGGAGAGAACTAAGACTCTATTGCATGCATCCCACTTCGGAAATAGGAAAGGACTCCCTGTTACAGAGCACAGGATCTCCTTAGCACCCTCTCCTGACCTCCAACTTGCCATCCTGTGTACGTTTCTAGAGCAATTATGCATCTCTGGGCTGGGAGGAGGGAGAGGTGTGTCTTATTACTACATATTATTGAATAAACAGTTATATTTGTATTATTGTAAGATGTGTGATGGACTTGTGATGTTGTGTAAAATATGTGCCCCTGGTTTTAGAGCATTACCATGCATAACATCTCAGGCATGTAGGAAACAGATGGCACAGACAGCTGCAGGTACTCACAGGTGAGCAGTCAGGTGACAGGTGACAGACAACCTCTGCTCCCTTCACTTAGAATTGGCACACTGCACGGACAACACGCTCACACGAAACACTCGCTCTGCGCAGTATTTTTTAAACTTTCCCCTTTTCTATGTCACCAGACCTTGACTAATCGTCTCACTGGCCACCTACGAACATCTGCATTATGTCACTGCATTACAGGAAGTCTCGCTAATCAGATGAGGAACAGAATTAATACCGCAGGGTGATATATAAACCACAGCCCACTCTCGCTCTTGCATGCAGACTCGTTATACAATCGTAGATCATCTTCCAGACCCTTCAAGCAAGCGGAGATAATTGTCTTGAACGCCTTTACAGACCCAACAAACTCTTAAAACAAGCTTCTTCATTTGAGGATTAGCTGGCAGTTGATGGATTAATATGAGGAAATGACATGCAGAACAGGGTCTGAATTTCAGCGTGGGAGGGCGAAACGTAATTCAGATCCCTCTGCTGTTTAACTAAAAGTAATCCTAGAAACTAATTCTAGATCAGGACTCCTGCTGCGTGAATATTCAGAAATATTTCGAAGGCAGATTGCTTATCTGAGATAATGGCAGCATTTGGTTTAAACAATAAAAGAGCGAAGACTTCGAATGTATGGCATACATCATTAAAGATGGTTGCACAGTGATCATTTCTCTGTAGGATGAAGGGAGACGCAAAAAAAAACTTGAAAGTTTTAGAAAACACAATGGAAGTTTTTTTTGTCTTGTTTTCTTGTGGTCACAATCTCATCAAATGTTCAAAACTGTTGTCTGTTAAACATCGTTCTATAATCTTTCATCAGTAAGTTTGCACATTTTGTTAATTTACAAACATATTTTAAAACAACTGAAACCGTATGCAAAAAAAATCACGTGGCCTTTAAAATAAGTTGTTTTTTTAAAGTCTCTCTAGTCAATCATTTTATCCTTTAAAACTCATCTTTGATCACCAAAATGACAAACTTAAACGTGTGAAAATAATTTCTTCATGACTTAAAATAGCTTGAATGTAACTTCACACCCTTGCTTTAGGATACACAGTTCCATGAATATGCATATTTATATATAAAACGTATCCACTCGCTAACTTTACTTTAGTAAACGCTACATGATGGCAAGTGGAAATACTGGTTTAATTCAGCCATATACTGTACGTTTGAAGCAGAAACTGATTCAGAAGAAGAAGTGGAAGAGTGACAGGCTCGTCTAGAAGTCGATGTATAACTAAGTCAAGTGAAAGTATAACTAAGTCAATTAAGTTTAAAAACATTGTAGGCCATCTGCGCATCTATAATAGGTTTTGTTGAAAATAACAAAGCATAAAACAGACAGACCGAGTTCTACTAATGTATGTTTCTGTAGATGGATATGCATTTTGGCTTTCCAATACGTTACAACAGCGATAATCAAAAAACGATGGACAAAACAGCCACTCTTTGTAAACTTTGTTCAATAGGAGTGCTGTATGCTCTAATATGACCAGTCATTACGCCGTTGATAGAGTGCGAGCGCAGGTGAGTCCTGAACAGCACACGTTGCTATCTGTGTTTAAACTAAACTCGTTTAAGTGCAGATTTGTGTGTGTGTACTCATTCGAAGCGTGCACACAGGCAGCTGCTTCTCAGACAGCGTGCAAATATTGATTTGTGCTTGAACGGACAAATTCACACAAAAATTATGTCAACATGCCTGTCTTGGTAAGTATTA